AAGTCCTCATTATGGTTTCTAGGGCTCACTTACGCTGGCTCCTGCCTGCTTCCCAACACTGTCTTGGACTCTTCCCTGTCTCCTCACTATGCCTGGTCACACAGCCTGATCAGTCTTCTAGCTTGCTGACCTTGTCCATGTCCCAGGGCCTGTGCCCTCACTGTTCCCCCATGAGGAACACTCCCCTGTTGACCCATGGCTTATTCTTTTGTGCCTTTGGGGCTCTGATCAAAGGTCCCCTCTTCAAGTAGACTGTCCAACTGCTCTAGAATGGCCTCTCCCCTTGTCTATCTGCTCCCATTGGCTTCATAGCACAATCTTTATTGTTGATTTGCTTTTATTTTTGTTTCCTTCCTCCGCACAATGTCAGCTCCATGATGAGAGGGAGTTTGACCTTCTGAGTCTTTGGTGAATAATAAATAAACAAATGACAACCATCAGCAAATAAGAACAAATTGTTGTTCTGGAAATTTCCCCCTCTCCTTTCTGTTTTGTGTCCTAGTGCGTTGCCTGCAACTTCCTGGGCTGGTAGGCAGTAATGGTGATAGCAGATATCCTTGTTTTGTTCTGGATTTAAATAGCAAGGTCTCTGGGGTTTTATTGTTAAATATAATTTTAACTGTTGGTTTGAAGTCAAAGTGAAGTAGAATGCTTTTGAAAAAACGTGTTAGCACATGCTTTTGCAACAATTGGTAATGTCTTATCATACATGCATTTCGATATGGTTGGCTTCAAATCCTGCTCTTTCCATGATGCCAAACTACCTCCTCACAGCTGGCCCTCTAATTTGACCATTCAATAGTCAGTATTATGAACAAGGATGGTGTCACCCTCCCTCCCTGCACCAGCCCCTCCTTCAGAAGTGCAGCAGGATGTTGCTGGCTGTACTGAAATATGGCAAAGGCCCAAGGCTGAGGACAGAAAATGACAAGCTGTTCAGGCCTATGAGATGAGACCTCAGGTCCAAGAGGCAGTCTGCATAGGCAATCTGCACTGCGAAGGACCCCAGCTGTGAATGGGAGGAGAAAGAGATACTTTTCTCTGGTCTACAGTATGTCCTTCATCTGCTTGGGGTAGGCTTGCTGAGAACCCCCCACCCCGCCAATGCCACCCAGGAGAATGAATACATACAAGTTGCATGGTCGAGAGGATCCTAGTTTCTAAGCACCAAGTAAGGTGGTAAAGGAGCCCTCTGGGAGTTGGCCTCAAGGGCAGCTCCACTTTGCCCAACTCTGGAGGGGAAGTACAAGCAAGGACAAGATGAAGGTCACTGGTAGGCCCAGCGAAAACACCAAGGGAAGGAGAAATGCAGAGAGGAAGCAATTGCTGAGATCTCTGCTCATTTTTTTTTTTTTTTTTGCCTTTTGTTTTCTTCTTGACTTTTTGGAGTTCCATGCTGGGTACACTTAATCAGCCATAGATTTGAGAAGTTTATATGCAGACTGGGGGGCCCCTCTAACTACCTGGGATTTTTCTCCCTCAACTTCCAGCCATTCTGTTTGCTCCCAAGACTGTGGACTCCCCAGCTTTAATCCTACAGTTACAATCTGTGTGAACTCTATCTCCAATGTGCTGTGTGCATGGGGAATGCTTTCTGGGAAAAAGGTGTGTTCTTACCCAGCACTTTATTGAGGTATAATGTACATAAAGTAAAATGTATGTATCTTAAGTACAAAGGTCAATAAATTCTTATTTTTCCCAGTAAATTAGTTTTTCTTGTTCAACAAGTTTTAGCTTTATCCCTATTGTCAGTTAACTCATTCTTTCAATTTAGAATAGTATCTAATGTATACGTTTATCTTTATTTATCCAGTAACTTATTACTGTTGAAGTGTAATTACTGAGTCACAAGGTAAGCATATGTTTACCTAGGAACTAGCAGAGTCTTTCCCAAGGTGATTATATGCCATCCTACATTCTAATAGTTACTCCCTGTTATCACCATTTGACAGGTATGCATTGGTATGTCCTTGTGGTTTCATTTTGCATTCTCTGATGACTAACGTTTAACACACTTTCCTATACTATTTGTGTAGCATTTGAATGGCTTCTATGAAAGTGTGTATTCAAATCACCTACTCATTTTTATATTAGGTTGTTAACAATTTTTTTTTTTTCCTGGATGGGTTATATGTGTTCTAATATTTTCTTAAGCCATGGCACTTTAGCAGTATCTTTTTGATGAGAAACATCTAATTTTGATGAAATTTATCAGCTTTTACCTTTAGATTTAATAGTCCAACCCCAAGGTCTTTAAAAATACTTTTTTCTTCTGCAAAATGTATTGTTTTGTCTTTCACACTTAGATCTATAATGCCTTTTCAAAAAATTGTGTATGGTACACAGAATGCATCAGTGTTCAAATTTTTACTGTACAAATAGCCACTACTCAGTTTCAATAGGAAAAACTTTCCTTTCCTATTGAGTTGCTTGGTATTTTTATTGAAAAGTAAATGACCATGTATACATAGGTCTATTTCTGGACTCTTATCTATTGATATATTCTAACTCTAGTATCACACACTCTTACTTATTGCAACTTTAGAGGAAAAAAATCTTGAAATTTGGGAAATATCAAGTCCTCCAGTCTTATTTTCCTTCTTCCACATTACATCTTAATCAATCTGTATCTACTGCATTTCCACTTGTCAATTTCTACAAAGTCTAGAGAGGGATCTTGATTTCACTGAATCTATAGATCAATTTGTGGGAAACTGACATCTTAATATTATGCAATCTTCCAATCAATAACAATAGTGTATCTATTGTGTGTGGTTTTTCTTAGCACTGTTATCTAGTTTTTAGGTTAGAGGACTTATACATCTTTTGTCTTCCACAACTTTCTTCTTAGATATTTGACTTTGTTAATTATATTTCATTATAAATGGCATATTTTAAAATTTAATTTCAACTGTTTATTTCAAATGTATACATATGCAATCGAGTTTTGTATATTTGCCTTATCCTGAAAATAGCAGAAAAATAAAGTAACTTTGTATACACCTTTCACAGTTATCACTTTCAGAAATACTACCTTCTGAATTTCTCCTCTGAAAAACATGTAAACCTTGGAGTTTAATTTGTTCTTGGTATTTATTTGTGGAAGATAAGAGCACTAAAGCCTACAAAAAGAAACCTATTTTTTTTAGCTAAATGGAGAACAGGGAAAATGACACAAATGCCTGCATGGTGTGTTACATTTGCAGAATGGTAAACAAAGTGGTATTTCTCAGGGATACCAATTAGGAAAGGCAGACATATTACAATGGACTGAGATTAAGATTGGGTGAATAGGTTTGCTGAGATTCAAATTATCTTTAATTGTCACTTATAAAATTCTTCACTGGGCTGAGGCTGTAGCTCAGCAGCAGAGCGCTTGCCTAGCATGTATGAGGCACTGGGTTGGATCCTCAGTAGCACATAAAAATAAAATAAATAAAATAAAGGCATTCTGTCCATCTACAACCACAAAAAATTTTTTTTTAAAATTCTTCACTAGTCAAATACTAGTTGTATGTATTCATCCCTTGCTTTTTCTTTTCATTCTCAATTTCATTTGTAATAGAGAGATTAGCATCTCTAATCTACAAACAGCTATGATAAAAAGGGATCCATTTGAATTTCAAATAAAACCAATGTAAGGCACAACTATTCAGGAATCTTTTATATTTTCAAAATATTTAGGAATATTTTAATTAGAAAAATAAAGGCAATGGGATTTCTATCAGATTCTAAAAGTACCCATGAATTAAATCACTCATATCCCCCACTTATAAAAAGCAAACCAAACCAAACCTTAAATCACATTGTTATTAAGCTTTCTTATAGTAAGGAATAAGACCAAGCTATGCTAAAGTACAAAAACCTGAAATTCTGAGCATGAAAATAATTTATTGATTAGACATCTGATTTGTTCAAGCGATAGGCCTACTAAAGACAGAATTAACACAGCTCATGGAATAGAAAAAAGATTCCATCCAGCACCTGCATCATTTCATATTTCCTGGGGACAGATTATGCATTCTGTATCACAGCCTCACCCTAAAGCATCCACATGTGCTTGATGTTGATGAACTTGAATTGGATATAAGAAACTTCATGTTTGGCAAGTATCATTAATGATGTTACTTTCAGAAACAATTCTTAGGCACTAGAAATAGCACTGCCTGCAGTGAGTCTTTGAAAACCAAAGAAAAGAATACCATCAAATATAATCTTAAAAACAGGAAGGAAAATATATGCATTTTCGTGAATTAATTGTTTCACATATCAGGAAAAAATGTTGCAATGAGGTTTTCTTTCTAGGAGAATAAAAAAGTAACTTTTAATTGATAGGTGATTTTGTGTATGAAAAATCAGAGAAAAATAAAACAATTTAACCTAAATGGAATTTAAAAAGAAATGCAGGACTAGTAATATGGAACAAGAGCTGCACTTCTTTGGCTAACTTATTAAAAACTGCTAATTAAACATTTTCAGTCAAATTTTATTAAAAAAAAGCAGCAGATCAACATTACAATTCAAGAATCTAATCTAAATATGCACTTGACAATGAAGCACATCTGAGTATGGAGTGAAAAAGGTTTTCCAAAAAAAACCATTAAATATATTATCTCCAAATACCCAAATTATAAACCACTCCTTGAAAGCCTTTTGTTAAATGGAATCATAAAGAACTGAAGATTTATTGCTGTGAAAACAAATCTGTAGTACAGTAGTATGAATCTTGGGTATTAAGCATAATCAGCTGAATCAAGTTAGGAAGGTGAAAATGTGGTAATGTGTGTGTGTGTGTATGTGTGTGTGTGACAGAGAGAGAGAGAGAGAGAGAGAGAGAGAGAGAAAGGGAGAGAGAGAGAATGAGAATGAGAGAGAAAAGGGAGGGAGGGAGGGAGAGAAACAGACAGAAGACCGAGACTGTAAGCCAGTTGACCCAAGAACAACTGAGATATCTAACTTGTTCAGTTGAGACCAGGCATCATGTTAATTCTCCATTTTTTAGAAGGCAATTAAAAGTCACAATTCCAACAGCCCACAAATCAAATAAAAATATTGTAGAAAGAAATTAAAACTATGTTCAAAGAGCTTTTTCTCCCAGCTCATTTTCAGCACCCCAAGGAAAATAAAAGCATCCATGACTATCACAGATGAAAATAAAATGAACGTCATTGGAATCAGTTATTTTTCCCCACTGAGGTATAAAATCTATATAGAAATTTGATACTATACTATAACAAATTGTACTTCTCATAGTTCTGTTTTAATTTTGTTTAAACCCTGTTTAATATAGTTTTTTTTTTTTAATGTAAAAATGTTGTTTTCATGATTCTGTATCTGGTTTCAGTTCTTTTTCATTTGCTTTTATGTCAATGTTTAATATACTGGCTACCAGTTCTAATTAGGAAAAAAATCTTGGTAATCTCTTCATTGACAGCACACTCAGCAGAAATTACTGATGTGCAAGCAAACCATAAAAGGTGCAGCTCTCCAGAAAGCACATTTTGTTGACTGTTTCACTGTCTGAATATTCTTTTCCATGATTCTTGATGAAAGACTCTTTCAATCTTGTAAACATCAGTGTGCACAGTCTCACTACTATGCAGTTTCACGTCCTTGGACAGGAAGGCTGGTTCACAGCTAGTGAAAAGCTAGAGGAGTCTGAGTTTTAATGGCTGATAAATCTTACATCCCGCAGAGGAGGAAAGCACTTTTCCTTTTTTGCTACTTAAGAATGTGGCAGAAACGTATGCTGAGGTAGCCCAGTCAATCCTTATTTTTTTCTTTTTTTAAAAATTTGGTCTCAGAATATTTCTGGAAGGGTGACATTTCGAAGAAGCCACTGCTGGGACCGGCTTCCACTGCAGTCTCTAATGCTGGGCACCTGGCTGTCCTCTTCCGTGGCTTTATCCAGGCACTGATTACTGTTCACATGCTGCAGGGTTAATTTCTGAAAATAACAGGGGGGGGGAAAAAAAAACAGAAATCTTAACATGAAAGTGGAAAGGAAAA